AAACAAGAAATTCAATACTGGGAGCTTGATCATTAAAGCTTTTGTTCAAAATGCAATTGGTATTGCACTTTGTTCTTGTAAAACTGGAATGGAACAATGAAATAAGTACAATTTGAAAAATAATGAATCACATTTCATTGGACCACACTTTCTCCTGTGTTTGCCTTTCTAGACCACCGATTGGATTATTGTTTGGAAAGAGGATAATTTCTCTAATCAAAAGACAGGTCCCAGTTTGGACCAGAAGGAGCCAGAACCTCTGCAGATAAAATCCCTGGACTAACCCATGTAGGGCCCATGTGGGCTGTGGCCCTACATGGGCAAACTCATGTGGGGCCATCGTGGAACCTGCGGACAAATCCATATGGGACCCATATGGCCTGCCCTCCTTTTCCCCACTTAGATTTTGTTTTCAAATGCAGGTGTTGCAAATGGAAGAAATGTGAACATTTACATTTGCAAAAATATATTTTATAGTTACGTTTCACACTTTGTTCCACATGTCTGACATGATATGTTTTTAGTGTAAGCTAGACAGCATTTTGTTTACTTACATACAAATAAATTGTACTGAACACATTCAAAGTATTTTATTGAACTACATCAGGTTAAAATGATAATAAAAGGTTATTTTGAGTACTTACAGTCCTACAATATTGTAATAGTTTAAAAACATCCAGTATTGAAAACACAGTAACCCAAAAGCTTATGGTCGTTGTTTCTGGTAGTTGTTGAAAGTATTGTGTAAATCCATCAGAGAAGAAAGTAACCCTTTTAAACCATTATTTTCTAATCCCAAACAGTTTGACAAGCTATATTAATAATATCATAAACCACATCCACATACACACCACTTCAGTTTTGCTTTAACAGGGTATTATGGACTTTCATTAATTTTGTCTGGCCTTATTTTAAAATTATTTATATGAAAAATGTTCTTTTTCCTTTATTTAATTGTATTGTGGAATGAAATAGGTAACTTATATTGTCTGGTAGGACTCCACCGTAAAAAGCATTTCCTGTTTCATTTGTAAACATATTATCAGAGTAACAACACTAGTGTTAGAAATGATGTTGAAAACTTACACTCGCAGAAATATAAATGCGATTTAACCCTTGGAATCTTGTTAAAATTATGAATAATCCACATTGCGGACGTGACATAACGTTTTCTTATGACGTCACTTGTACGCGACAGAGAGACAGCCACCTAGCTACGCAGTTGTTTGCTTTATCGGATTTGTTGGAATTTTCCACTACGGAGTTTGTTTACAATATAGTTTAGAGTACCGTGTAGACTGGCGGATAATATATCAAAACAAAACCATAACGGAGGATTTCGAGATATATTTGCGATCTCTCCGAGGCTACGTGTCGCAGTTCATCCGTTTTTTTGTTTTGGACTTTGAGGAGCGGATGGGGTTAACTAGCTGTTAGCATCGTTCGGTTAGATAAGCTACTGGAGCCCGGAGCGGGGTTAGCCTTTAGTAGTTGAGATGGAGTTTCTTGGAGGACCAGGTGCTGTGGTGGTGAGCGGTGGTAACGTCCCGGCCTTTCTTACTAAACTGTGGACCCTTGTGGAAGACCCGGAGACAGACCCTCTTATCTGCTGGAGCCCGGTACTTACTTCACCAAACCTAGCTTAGCCTAGCCTAGCCTAGCCTGGTAAAGCTAACTCCCCACGGGTTCATTAGAGTTCTCAAACAACAGATCTTAAACATTATTTACGGAACAGAACACACCATTTGTTCATTTTGTTTTATTAAGTGATGCTAATCATGCTAACATTACATCTTGAGGCAAATTAATCAAGCAGGTTATCTCGTTAGCTTTTAGGTAATTGGGTCCAAGTCTGGTAAAGTATTAAGTTGATTAGCGATACATTTTTGGGTTTATTGGTTTTAAAAGGATTGTTTATATATATATATATATATATATAAATCGCACATGTAGGTGTACTTGTTTTATAAGCGATCGAATATATTAAAAAAATTCCGAAAAATTTTTAGTTTTCTGTATTTTAGGTTGTACTTAACCAATACTTTTATTCTGAAATGGCATTAATGAGATTCAAAAGACACATATGTAGCTAAAAAAATAATGTGGCAGTAATTTATGATGAGCATTAACACCTGTAAAAATATGTGACCCAAATTCACACTTAATTTTCCGCAAAGTTATACCTTTACAAAGAATAAGATGTGTGACATGTTGTGTTATTGTCTCATGGTGTTGTGTCTACCTTTCAGCTTTTGCTCCTTGTAGTTTACTATCCACTGTTGCTCAAGAGGAATGGTTGGTACCTATTTTAGTGTTCATGAGGACACAAACAGAAATAACTTCCATTAGTGGGAAAGTTCAAGTTTACTAACAGCAAAATGACAGACAAAGCGAAGCATGCAGCTTCACAAAAATATGAAAACAGAACTAAGAATAACATACTATACCGGGAAGGGAAATTTCCAAAATGACAAAATACTGTACAATGAATTAACTGTTCAGACTCTAAAAAAGCCTATTTGCTTAAAATACAACACACTCGGAGCATTAAAGAAGCCAAAATTGTATAAACAAAATCCTCCTCTCATTATATCTGTTCTACCCAGAATTAAAACGACAGTTTTAGCTTCATCTGTTTCAAATTAATACAAAAAAAAATCTTCTACTATGCACCTTTTACTGTCCAATTATTAATCCCCAAAATAACAAACTGATTAGTAAAAAGTATTTCTTTAGCTGCATATTCAACCTTTGCTACGAACATTAAATAGAGGTACGTTGCATTTTAGGAAATATCTTTTTAATTTTCTCATTCAAGATTATTTGCATCTTTTGATGTAATTCTAATATTAGTTTGAAAAAGAGGCTCCTGATAAACTGCAGAGCGTTTTATCGGTTTAATCATCGGAATACTTGATAGAATAATCGATTACTTAAATAATTGTTAGTTGCAGCTGTTGTTTTTTAGTTCTTTTCCTTCCTTTTTGGCCATATCCTTCTTTTCTTGTTTGAGTTTTTTTTTCCTTTTCTGTGTTCTTCCTCCTTTTCTTCTCTTATGTCCAGCCTTCACTTCTTCTGTCCTTCTTTGTGTTTTTATTTCCGTCCATCTGTTCTTCCTACCTTCTGTATGACCTTTCTTTCATCCAGATTCTGTTTTTTGCTGGGACCACATGCAAACTCTCCTTTCTGATTGTATATTTTCCATCAATGTGTATCAAACATTCCTGGAGGAGAGCAGGATAGTTGGCTTGTGGAGAAAAAGTATGTTTTTGTTAGGGTTGTAATTAAATATGTTAAAGTTGTGCATTGTTCCTGCATGTTCTGCAGATTGATCGATTTAGCACTTTCTAATTGCAGTGGAATATGTTGCTTTAGGAATAAAGTCGTTTTCTCTTATCAAAGTCTTTGCTTAACTTTACTAGCTAAAATCAAGCAACTAAAGTGGCACAATTTGATTTAAATATTTTTTTAAATAGTTTCAAATTTTCACCAAAAAACTCATAAATTGAGTTTAGTCAGAAACTTTCTGGAAAAAAAGTCAAACTTTTGACATTTGGAATTTCCTGACTTTCAAAAGTTGAAAATTGTCGACATTTGAAATTAAGAAATGTCAATTTTTTAAATAGAAAATTTCAGAGATTATTCTCCAAATTTCGAAGGTGAATGGCCCTTGTACGCCGTCGTAGATCTCACATGTTTGATGGTTTAAAAAGGAAGCATCTAATTTTCTGTTTCTTTTGGATTCGGTTGAACACATTTATTTTCAATAATAACAGGATTTGTGTAAGTTTCTTTCAAAACATTTGCTTTATTTAGCTAAATGTGATCAAATAGATAAAAGCTGATTTTGTTGCAGTAAATCTCTGAATAGATCTGGTTCTACCTTCTGTTAAAACTCTGTTATAAAAAGACAAACGTTTTGCGTTGTACTTTTCATTTTCCATTGTAAAATGACAAATTAAAAATCTCAATCTGCATCAATAGGGCAAATTTGTATCATCAGTCCCCCGGGGCGCATTTTGGACACCCATGTCTTAAGATACTGTGTGCAGTTTTTAGTTACTTTATGCTTACATAAAACACATATTTTCACAGAAGTTATTTGTGCTTGTTATAAAGAGGAGTTATACCATACCATACCAACTTTATTTATAAAGCACTTTAAAACAACCACAGCTGATACAAAGTGCTGTACATTAAAACACAACATAACAATAAAAAAATAAAAACTCTTACACTTTAAAAACAAACATACAATTTAAAACTAGATCCCGCTGGAGTTGAAAGCCAAGTAAAATAGATGGGTTTTAAGACGAGCTTTAAAATGGATAAGTTTTTGTTCTGTTCTTTTGGTGTTGCTCCTAGTAACAATGATTTAATCTGCCGTCTGTATTTTTTCCCTTTTTTCTTCAGAGTGGAACCAGCTTCCATGTTTTCGATCAATGTCGGTTCTCTAAGGAGGTTCTACCAAAGTTCTTCAAACACAACAACATGGCCAGCTTCATTCGACAGCTCAACATGTGTAAGCATCAGATCCTCTAAGAAAGAATCCCGTCTAACAGGTTCTTTTATCGCGATGCTGTCAGATTCTCTGGAGAAATGGTTGAAATGCAGAAAGTCTCTGTTGCTCTGCAGATGGTTTCCGTAAGGTGGTGCACATCGAGCAGGGCGGCTTGGTGAAACCAGAGAAAGATGACACAGAGTTCCAACATCCATTTTTTGTCAAAGGGCAAGAGCACCTGCTGGAGCACATCAAACGAAAAGTCACCAATGTAAGCAGCTGCAGATACACCTGGACACGCCACTTTAGAGATCATTAACTTCCTGGCTTCTCAGGGCTCTCGGTGGCAAAATTTTAAAGTTCACGACTCTGTAAAACTTTGATTTTGCATAGACCAGGTCTTATAATTATAAAATCTCTGATGAATAGATCAAAGTGTGTTTGGATAAATACTAAAGGCTGTAGGACAAAGGTGTGTGATAACACAGTGCCAAAGAGGAAAGACATGAGCACTGACCAAAGAGAAACAAAGATTTAAATGAGAAACATTATGCACTGCAAAAACACACATTTTGTTGTAAAATTTTTGTCTAGTTCAAATGTCTTAGTAAGACAAAATTAATATACAAGTAACTTTTCAGCAAGATACATGAGCTTGTTTTAAGCAAACAATTCCTTAATATTGATGAAAAAGTTCTAGTTCAGCTGGCAGATTTCTCTTGTAACATGAGGAAAGTGTCTTGCTGTAACTTAATCTGCCAATGTAACAAGAATTTTTCATCAATATTGAGGAATGATTTAGATAAAACAAGCTTCTTTTTCTGCAGAAAGTTACTTTCAAGTTAATTTAGTCTCATTTTAAGTGTACCAAGATATTGGCACTCAAAACTAGAGAAAAATTACTGAGCAAGGTTTTGTTTTTGCAGTGTCAGGATTAAAAACATTAATAAAACTCGTCGAGTTTAGACGTCCAAGTAAGTTTCCCAGTGATTCCAGAGAAACCACAAAGAATCTATTGTTAGATTTTAGTCTCTACAGACTTTAGTCATGATGTTGAATCTTGTTGTTCCTGACAGATTGATGGGAAAATACTTTCAAAACAAGCAACCAGTTTGAAGTTCACTGCAACAATTCAGAATATTTCCAGTCTGGGATTAATAATGTCCACCAGTCTATTTTTTTTAAGGCTGATTATAGTGAAGGACATGTTTGGTTTTATTGAACAATAGTAAAGATAAACAAACGCAATATATTAGCTCAAAACTACTTATCCAGTTTGCAGTAAGGTTTAGCTGTATCCATTATTTTTCCTTTAAATCGCACGTTATTATTTAACTAAATATATATATTACATTTCAGAATAACTAATTATAATTTAGAGTTTCTGCTGTGAAAATGCCCTTTTGCTTTTGTTTATATGTCGGCCTGTCATATTAAGAAAATTGGCTGAATGTTAATAATTGTGATAAAAGATAATGTTGTTCTGAGATCGTTTTGGCATTACAGTGCAAGTTTAAGTTAGTATAAAAGACTTCACACTGGAACTAGATGTTTTAAATATCTAAAATAAAACGCAACAATCAAAAACAAATAATAAAGCTGAAGTTAAAAACACACAACCGAAACCAGAAAGAAAATGGATTGTGAAATCTCTATAAATAATGTTGCTCTTCAGAAGATATTAATCATCAGAATGGAAATTATTGCGCTTATTTTAATTTGTAACGTGATCAATTGCAACATGCTTATTTAAATGTCATCCATGTATTTAGCATTCACAAAATACCTAAAATTGATCAAAGTTTATTTTGCACTATTACCCTCCTCTCTTTTCTGTTTACCTTGAAAACTCTCGAATTTCACTGTGTTTACAAACTTCCCACAAATGCACAGTAATACGGTGACACAACCACTTCCCCTTCCAGTTTCTCCCGTCTCCACGGTAACAGAAAATCCCGCTAAATTGTTGCAGGTGTCATCAGTCCGTCAAGAAGAAATGAAGATCTCGACAGATGAAGTCAACAAAATCCTGAGCGACGTTCAGCTGATGAAGGGAAAACAGGAAACCATCGACTCCAGGATCATCGCCATGAAACAGTAAGAATCGCAATCTGTTCACACGTTTATGCTGAAAAAACAAAGTAAAGTAAAATCCTCGTCCCACACAAGCTGGTAAGCAAAAACTGATCCGATCCTGTGATTTAAAAGCTCCAAGTCTTACAAATTAGGTTGTTAATCTGTTTTTTTCTTCTTGTCAAAATTGATTTTAAAAAGTTTTTTTTTCCTGTCAACAGCTCCCCTTCCTTTTATTAAGCCCGATGTTTTCCTGTTTCAGTGAGAATGAGGCTTTATGGAGGGAGGTGGCCAGTCTGAGACAGAAACATGCGCAGCAGCAGAAAGTTGTCAACAAGGTAATAAAATATAACATTAGTTTAATAAATACTTAAGGGGGAAAATGAAGAGCAGCACGTCTAATTTATAAATATTCTAATGTTGGCACTGAGCCACATTATCACAGTTTAATAAAGATGCTGAGTGAACTAATGATGAACTCTCTTTGGTTTCAGCTGATCCATTTTCTGGTGTCTCTTGTCCAGACCAACAGAATCATAGGAGTCAAGAGGAAGATGCAAGTTTTCTTCTAATATGGCTTCAAACCTCAAATCTGAATAGAAATGCTACTAAATTTCTACATACTGTAAACTCTAGATTGAGTTAAATATATTAAAATAGTATTTTAATAGTTTAGATTGTTACCACAGATATGAAACGTGATTGTCTGACACAGACTTAGATGTTATTTAGTGATCATATATGACGTGGTTTTTATTGTATTTTTTATTTTTCGTTTCTCCACCGGCAGACCTCTGATGCTCAATGACTCTAGCTCCGCCCACTCTATGCCGAAGTACAGCCGACCCCTGACGCTGGAGCACATTCAGGTAATTCATCTCATTTTGTACTGGTGGTGGAAATATTGAAAAATATCTTAATTACAGGTTTTGAAATAGCAATATTTTTAAATTCACTTTTATTTTGGCTGAAAGTGGTGATAGTGGGTAAACCAGGAAGGTTGCGGCTCAGGTTTGCTTGGTGGAAATACCGTGAAGTAGGGCTGCATATGTAAATCTCATGGTGGTGATGAAATTGGTGAATGCTGATATGACGACATCAGGTGTGATTTGTCTTCTTTTCTCTCTTATTAATGTTTGCTTTAACCTTCAGGATTTTGAATGTTGAGCAGCGCCACATGGAGGCTGATTGACAGCGCTAAGACCCGCCTCTTGTCTCTGATTGGTTGTTTCTAGTTAGCACTGGGAGAGGGCAGAGGGGCTCAATCTTTTCACACATTATCTGTCTCTTGTTGTCATGACATATTGACAGTTTCATCAAATATGTAAAAAATATTTCTTATAAAAACTACATACTGAGCTGAATATGTAGTTCCTGTGGCAGCCATTTAGTTCTCTCACACTTTGGTCAAGAGTGTCCACATATTTTCTGTTTGTTAGCATCAGAGCGATAGGTTGCTCTGCGTTGTGGGAACTATGTATTAGTAAAAGTCTATTTTCTGCAGCAGCTTTGACGTTCAGGTGTCTCTATGTTACATGTTGGTACTTAAAGAGAACCGAAGCTTTGACCATCATTGATCGCCCTGATGAGTCTGCTTGTCCTTTCAGAACGCAGCCGCCAATCTCCTCTCACCGGATTCTGGACCGATCATCTCGGACATCACAGAGGAGGCGCCGTCCTCCCCAGAGGACGCAGCCACCGACTGGACCGACCTGGGGTGAGGACCAATGAGACTAGTTTACTATTCCAGCCTGTTCATGCAGATGTACGCAAGACCTTCTATGTCTGCAGAGAGAACCACTCGACTTTTATCAAAGAGGAGCCGTCCAGTCCCGAGGTGGAGGAGTGTCCTGTTCTGGAGGTGGAGCAGGATTCACTCCCAGCAAACGTTGACACGCCTCTGTCCCCCACCACCTTCATCAACTCTATCCTTCAGGAGGAAACGCCGCTGCCGCAGGTCACCTCCTCCCCCTCCACCACCACCACCACAGCTACCACCACCACAGCTACCACCACCAAAACCCCAGCAGGTAGACATGGTGATATACGGGACCTGGACAAGCATTTGCACCTCTTTAGCTGTGTTATTAATGTATTTTGTTGAAATTTGAAACAATTAATCGGATTAATTGTGATTAATCAATTTGTGAAATAATTGTCAACTAAATTAGTAATCAAATAATCGTTAGCAGGAGCATACATACTCTAAAAATACTTTACAAAAAATATATATAGTTTGCATTTAAGATAAAACAACATTTTTGTTTAAAAATGTTCTACCCAGAATGGCTCATGTGGAATAGTTTTAGCTTCACGTGGTGGTTCAGAAATACCAGTTGTAAAGGATTATTTTATTAAAGAAAGAATGTGAAAAGTGGATGTGTTGTGGGGAAAATGGAAAGTTTGGTCACTCTGTTATGCTACTAGCACTTAGCAGTCGTCAACAACTCACCAGTGCAAGTGAGAGCGTTGCACAACACAAATAAAGTAAAGCACAATTTAACAAATCCTCAAGGATTTTTAATAATTGAGGCCTATAATCATTCAATGAATCATTGCATCCCTAACCATTTTTTAAAGAAATGTCTCTCAAGAGCTTCATGGCTGTAACATTTCAGGTTTGTAATGTTTTAAAAGTTTGAAAACAATGTGTGATCTTCTTTATATCCACATTTTTTTAATCGTTATTAATTTTTTTATCACACTAAATTCCAATGAAATAAATTTAAATTTGTGGTTCCAACAGATTAATATGTGAAAAGGTTCAAGGAGTATTAATATTAGGGGTGCACTGATTTATCGGCCATCTGATTTATTGATACCGATATCTTTAATTTTAGGAGATTGGTGATCAGCTGATGATTACATGTGAAGCCGATCTTATCCATCTACCCTATTTACCTCTGCAAAGGTCCAAAAAGTCACTTCTGTTCAGCTTTTAGAGAGGTTTGACTGACAGACCGGCCCACCAGGTCATGTCTACATGCTTGTCCCCACTGTTCCCATCTCAGCGACTTTCTTGCTATATTTAGCGACATTTCAGACAAAAAAAAATTGGTATCGGACAAAATCGGAATTGGCAGGTCAGGCTTTTTAGGGATCTGTGATTGGCCAGAAAACTGCAGTTGATGCACCCCCCTGTTTCTGGTGGTTCTGTATTGAATCTTCTAAACGGTTTGACCAGACCTCTTCTGTCTTTACTTTTTCTCCCAGTTCACCGTCTGTCTCTCTGTTTTTCAGCCTCGCCTGTTGTTGTGATGAGCCCCGCCTCCGCCGGGCCCGTTCAGTCGGCTCCCACCGTCAAATCTCCGGCCCCCGTTTCCAGCTCGAACTCCACCTCAGCCCCAAGCCCCGCCAAACCTAAACAGAAATGTCAGACCATCGCCCGTCTCGACAGGTTACTATGAAACCCAGTGGCAACAACAGGAAGGGCTGCTGGCCACTTACCTCTTACTGCTGCCTGCTGATGACCTTAGAGCTGCCTCAACGCTTTCTCATAATAAACCCGCCAGTCGCCATAACACTGAAACATTATCTGCTTAAACAGCTACCAACGTTAGCGATTTTCTGCCTACCAGCAAATGCAGTCAGATTTTTTTGGCATACATCACTGCATCAGGGGAGCAGCTGCAGTAAATGCACGGCCTCCTCAGTGTGTCTTGTTTGTGACTGTCTATTTGCATTACAATCCCAACATATCAGCTCTTGTTACATTTATAATCAGATAATTGTCAAGTGTTTCATTAAAAATCCTTGTGCTTCTCTTAGGTTCCTCCCCCCACCGCCTGCAGGTGGACACACACCTGATGTTTGGCGCGTCCTATCGAAACATCCTGAAAAGTGAATCCTTAAATGATTATCCTAGACTGTATGTAAAAGATGGAGCCTAGCCTCTCCCCCTGCACAGCTATGTGAAACTAACCTGACCAATCCAGTCACTTTGCAGTGATTCTGAGGGCGTCTGGGATCTGCCTGTCGCTAAACAAAATGCTGTTTGCCAACTTCTTGCTCAGAGAATCTTAGCCTCTAATCACATGACACCACTTTTGGCTACAGCTTTCTTTTATATAAAGTCTATGATGATTACTGAAGTTTTCAGACACGAGTATCTACATCTCTGGTGTTATTCTGCATTTTCCTTTTTGTCTTCATGGGAAAAGTAACAGCAGTGCATATTTTTAGAGGGGAGTACGACAAGCAGCGTCAATATCCAGGAAAATACGTTTATACTGTTTATAAGTTTGATCAATATTTAAACGAGAAAAAAATTACTGTTTTTTTTTTTTAGAAATCCAGATTTTTTTGGCAGGTTAGTTGTGTTCCACTCTTTTTTTTTTAGTTCAGAGATGATGGTGATACACCTAGACCGTGTTTGTAAGGGGAATTATTATGCATAATTCACTATTTGCATCTTTTTATACTCCCATTTAAGTCTCTATGGTAGGGGTAACCAACTCCAGTCCTCGATGGCTACCATCCTGTAACTTTTAGATGCGTCTCTGCTCAAACACACCTGGATCAAATAAACTGCTCGTTTCCAGCCTATTGCAGAGAGGAATGAATGCTGGTGAGGGAATTCAGACATTTTGGAGCAGAGGTGAATCTAAAAGTTGCAGGATGGTAGCCCTTGAGGACTGGAGTTGGTGACCCCTGCTCTATGGCTTCTAAAAATTGCCAAGTCACTTTAAAAAAAATCACCCAGCTGATTTTTGTCAAGTTAACGTTTTGTGGTGTCTGGAAAATGAGCCGTTTCAAAACCTTCCCGAATAATCAGCAGACAACTCCCCTAAGCCAGTGACCCCAGGTAACAGGCCCCTGCCCGTTACCTAGCAACCCCTGAGGAACTCCACTCGTCACCTAGCAACCCAAGTTGAGCTCCAGCACATTTTGTTCGGCTGTTTATACTGCTGTATGCGCTGTATAATGGCTGCTGGAAAAGACAAGTGTTTTGTTGTTGACTTATCATCCTGAAGCCACTTCCTATGCTCTTGTTGGTTGCTTTTCAAATATGTATAGTTGCACATCTGTTTGCAGCCATTTTCATGCAAGAGTGTAAATGTTGATTTGGGGGCGTGGCCAGAAGCAGCTTATTTGGATTTAAAGGTACAAGAGAAACATCAAAACAAAACAAAATTCAGAAACATCAAAATAGGTAGAACTGAGCAGACTGAAATCTCATTGTCCAAAAATGATTTTCTGAAAGAATAAAAACAAAAGTAAGGAACATCTTTCTTTATTACCCATATAACTATCCTAACCTGTTCAAGGAAGCATAATAGGTCACCTTTAAAAGTCTCCTTTTCAGCAGACACAAATGAGGTGAGGGATCGCAAACTTGAAACTGATAAGTTTCTGAAAAGAAGATCGGTGGTATTGAGAAATGCACTGTTTTCTTCATGTGGGCAAAAGGAAAATGCAGAATAAGATCAGTCCTGACGGGTCGTCTCACGCCTGTGTCTCTCCCTCTGGTTGTGTCCCAGGTGCGAACTCTCCGATCACGTCGACAGTATTGACAACGGTTTGGAAAACCTGCAGAGTATTTTGAACGCTCAAACCTTCACCTTTGACCCGTCTCCCCTCATGGAGGTGAGTTTGGTCGTGATTCATGTATTTTTATTGTGCGAGTCTTAAATTGTCAGTACATGCATGTATTAATTGAATTGTTTTGTTTGTGTTTTAGTTCTTCAGCTCATCCATTTCCTCTGGAGACTTCGACATTGAAAGTTTGGATAATGTAAGTTGAAATCCAGAATGTCACTTTCTCAATATGTGTTTTATTAATGGCAGCTCGTCTTTATGACACCAATCTGTCAGGAAAATACATATGTATTTTTTGAAAGAGACTCCTGACATGAAAAGTCGAGGAATCTTCTGAACCAACCAACCATTAATCTGGATGAAAGTCCGGCTGGGTTTATCTGATGCTTCTCTAGTTAAATTCGACTCAAATCCACTCGTATGCGTCTCTTTCACCCAATTCCAATCTTTTCACCCCCCAAAAAACACAATACGCATTTCATATAAGTGGATCAATAATTGTCAATATAGATAATTATTAATTAATATTTTAGTTTTAAACTTGAGGTGTGATCTTTCCTGTTTTATCCTGTTGTTTATTTTTAAGCCGCTTTCAGGCAGGGTGGTGAAACCTGAAACTGCTGCTGCAGAAGTTACTCAACAGGTTGTTGCTAGGTAACCACAAGTTCCTTTAGAAATTGTTGCTAGGTAACCAAAGAGTGAGTGAGTTAGTTGATTCCACCAACCTTGCCAAGTTGGCTGTAAAGTCTCTCTGCTGACTACATCTCCCAGAATGCTGTGCGGTTCTTAATCGAAGCTCAGTGAATATTCGGTAACTCTTTAACAATATATCAGTAAAACAACACATCACAATAGACAGGTGATCAATACAAATAGATAATTCATTTGATAGAATATTCAGTAACACTTTATTTGAGGGATGTGAATAAGACTTCAGTAAACTTGAAGGAGTCTTTGTGAATGTTTGACACTTAGTGGATTTTTAACACAACTTTGCATAAAAATGTCATTCTTGCTCAAAACAATTGCTAATTTGGCAGTTTCCATGCACTTTTAATGGAACTTTGCATTTAAAGTGTCATTATTTATCGAATGACTCTTCATGACAACCACTATAAACATTGATGAAGACTTCCTCTTGTTCCTGACGGCGTCATGTCAGTCTGATGTACACCCCTTCAAATAAAGTGTTACTGAATATTCTACATATTGAATATTCTGTCAGATGTGTTATCGATCGATATTGATCATGTCTCTATTGTGACATGATCAATATCTGATGTAAGCTGGCTAACATCTGATCGTTGTTACCTGGCTTTAACTAGTAGTATGAACAACCAGGCAAACCCACACAAAAAAGGATTTCATCAAAAAAATCTGAATTGATCATCAGTATCTGCTGCTTTGTGTTTCCTTTCAGCTGCTGTCTGACGAAGCCCCTAGAGAAAGTGAAGAGAGAACAGGTGAGCACCGTTTCTCCTCGCTCGCCCCCCCCTGCTGTTGTCATGGTGTCTGCTCTGATTTGTCTGCTCTGATTTGCGCAGGGAAGCAGCTGGTGCAGTACACCGCCACGCCTCTCCACCTGACTGAGCCGGTGGTCCTGGGGGAGGGCGACACCGACCTCCCGTCCCTCCTGGAGTACGAGACGGAGCCGCTGTTCAGCTCGGAGGCGGCCGGCGACGACCCGCCCGACGTCCTGCTGAGCCCCTCCCAACTGGACTCTAACCTCTAATATCCTGAAGAATGTAATGACTCCTCAGTAACAACACGACACTGGGCAGCAGCAGCAGCAATAGACCACGACGACGACGAAGAAATCGATGGGTTGTAGATCAATCATTAGGTCAAATGTCATGTTTTTATCAGGCAGATGTTATTAATCGATATTAATCCATTTCTATACTTTAGGATTTTTATTTTAGGTTTTATTTTTGTGTTTGCCACCTAAATTGAAACCTTTCTTTGTTGCTTGTTGTTAAAAAAAAAAACTTAAAAAAAGATGAAAAGTTTAAAACAAACAAACAAACCGGGGTCACATGCGCCTGCTGGTGCATTCAGGGACAGATCTGGAGGCGGTCGCTCAGCGCCTAACGTCGGGATCATGTGACCCCGGTGAGCGCCGCGTTGCATGTTTAAGTCACATTTGATGGCTGTATTTGTTTTCACGTGTATAATTTAAACATAAAGAAGAGGATGGGAATATTTTTGGAAGAGTTTATTGCAGAGTGTTTATCCTCCTCCTGTTGTTTCATCAGACAGGAACGCTTCGATCCAGACCTTTGCTGAGGTTTCCTGCGTGTTTTCTAACGCCGGACCCGATCAGGCATGGGCCGCTCCGACACATCTGACGGTGTGTGAACAATGCTGTGGTGTCACTGTATGTACGCAAACCTGTACGACATGATGAGCCTGCAAATATCCCTACTGCTACTAAAATTGCTGTTATGTTATCAGCAAAACTTATTGATTATTTTAGATTTTTATACTTAGATTTAAGCAGAGATGTAGAATAAAACACCTGGTTGTTTTAGTGATTTCTGAAATGCTTGTGCTGAATATTGTAGCTTCTGTCGGCGTTTTTGCCAGTGGAAAGTGGAAAGGACGCAGGAGTTTAAAGTTTTAATAGCTGGCCAGGACAGCGCAGCAATAAGTCAGAGAAAATTCTGGTCTCTTTGGTGTTTTCTGAGCTTTTAGGAAGGAACAAAATGACGGAAAATCTCAACGGTTTTTGGATCTGCGGCTTTTTAAAAAATCTTGGTGGACTCTGATTCCGGTAGCCGGCCCATGCCTACTCCTGACAGAGCTGGAGCTTCGACAGAAACTTAAAGTATCTCCAAAATAAAAAGATGAATGCTGGAGAGTCTTGACTGGACCACTTGCTCACAGAAGACAAGCTAGGTTAAATCACTGTTTGCTTTTCGAGAAGGTTTCTCTGTCTGGTCTAAAACGCCTTAGTTTGTCCGCAGCTCCATCAGTTTTCTACATTTTGGATCCATTTTCCTCAAAATGAGTTTAGAGTGGGGGCATTTCTGTGTAACGGTACTTTTGTTGGGTCCAGTGATGCCAGAACCAGATCAGATTTATGGCAAAAACTTACTTCAGGACATCAGGTGTCGCGTTTCAGTTTTAATGAAACATATCCGAGATTGTTTTTTCTCGCAGTCTCAAGCGTGGATTCACCTTTTATACTCACTCTTGTTTTATTTGAATAAACTTCCAACTTCAGCTGCGGAAGGTTATCAGAGCTCAAAGTGAAGTTACTTTATTTAAAATGTAAAAATGTATAAGGAAAGCTTGGCTGGGTTTGTGCAGGTTTAATATATTACAATAGCAAAGATGCGTGTTTGAAACAAGGGCTGCACATTAAGAAAACATGATTGCAACTTCATTGCAGAATATAAGCCACATTTTCCTCACTCTTAACTTCTCCATCAACACTCCGCCGTCTTTCTGGAGGTTTTGCCTCAAAACTCTTGTCAGGTGTGGCAATGCTACAACTGAACAAATGCAAATCTTAACTTATTGAAAAGTTAGTTCACTTCATAAGGATAAACTCATGAGTGTCCTTTACACACACACAGATATATTTCCAGTGGCCAACATCTAACGGAAAACAAAATTCAGGTTCTCAAATATTAAATTACACTTTTAAAAAAAAAAGGACATTTAATTCTGAAATTCAAACTGAAGCATCTGCAGTCAGTGGCTGGTTGGGACTCATTTGCATGAATTACTGCATCAATGCGGCGTAGCATGGAGGCACTGATGCTTTTTTAAACTTGGTTTTTGGCTTTTCTGCATTGTTGGTATTTCATCTCCATCTTGACTAAACCCGGTAGATTCTCTGTGAGGGTGAGGTCAGTTTGCAGACGTTTTAATGACTAAATATCAATGATCTTTAAGTTTAGCAGCAGATAAAATCATTGAGTTCTCTGAACTTAATCTCAGACTCTTGATTAGACTTTGCTTCTCTTCCTTATTACACCTGTATTAGTTTATGTTGCTCGTGCACCTTCTACCATACGTTTTCCTTCCACCCAACTTTCCAGTTTTAGATTTGATCAACATATTTCTGTCTTTAAACAGTTTATGTTGCTCTTCTGTAACATTAAAATCTTCAGAGAATCTGAATTTTGGGATTTCATTCGCTGTAAGCCACAATACTCTGAATAAAAACTCTTTAAGCAAAGCACTTGCTTCATATGAAACAAAACCAGGTCATAAATGATAGGCTTGATTTTTTTACTTTTAGATGATTTAATCTGACCTACAATAAACTCTCAGATTAAATGTATCAAGCACAAGTCTCTGACAGAGAGGTGGCTCCTGATGTCCTGATGCGTCGGTCCTCGGATGGTTTGTCAGACGCCGTACAGACAGGAAGCTCTGCCATGTAAAACCTGCGGTGAATAATATACTATTTGATTTTTGCCTTTAATTCCAACAAGCCATCCATCTTTAATTTTCTTGACGGCTCTCTACATGTTGGGAAGACGGGGGTCGAATGTTGAAGTATTCTGGTTGCAAAACTTTTGTTCAATAAATTGTTTTAAACACAGCCGCACGGTGAGTGATTATTTCGCTTCAATGTAGTCGGACAAAAGGCAACAGTTTGATGTTCAAAATAGACGAGACTTTTATTGTTGAAGTCCAAAACCACAATTTACAATCACATCCTGTTTGACGCCATTAATACGCAATCAGACGGTCGAGATTCACCTGAATTATTCTTAATTTAATTCCCCTTTAAGTGGCTCTTCACCACCGGCTGGTGGCGACTCAAGTTTTCAAACGCCATTAAAAAAAAAAGATGCGAGGCAAGTAATGAGTCGTCATGTTACATTCCAGCTCGGGAAATGACCAGCAAGTGATTTTTTCTTTATCTCTCACACACTTATCTCATCAATGGTTACTGACGCGACTTAATCCTCCATCCTCACGTCTAGCCGGATCGTGCCCCAGTGGTAGATAAAGGAGCGGACCCAAAGATGGTCAAACAAAATAAACGTCCACAAACAGCATTCGATTTTTTAAATATTTAAACAACAAAAGGGAACCTCTCATTTGTTGGGGGTCTACAACTAGTGGGTGGAGTCAGAATTCCTGGGCCATGCTGATTGGTCGGTACACGGAATTTGAAAACGGATGAACCGCACGCGGGGCTTCATGTGGAAATCAGCAGGTATCCTCCAGTTCCACATTTTCAGCACCTGAGACACAAATACAGTTTCACTCAACAAAATCTTATTTAAGGAGAAAGTTTTATGCATAAAAACACAAACATTTGTAATCATTTAGCTTTGCTGAGCCTGAAGCTAAACGTTAACCGACATGCTATTGATCAAATAAATGACCACAAACAGAAAATAAACTGCATAATAAAACTGTTGAGAATTAAAAAGGGGGAAAAAAATCCTCAAATTATGTTTTCTACTCTGCTTTTTCTATTAGTTTTAAAGAGGTTTACATGAAAACATTAAAATTTTTCTTAAAAGGAAAAATGTAGGAGCAGATTTTGATGACCTGTTGAGAGATTTTTATTAACATGTTAAATACAAATTACATTATTTCAATTAACCTGGAATGATAACACTTTAAAGAATAATCAGTAATTTGTCTTTTTTTAAATCACATATCAAAAAATCCCTCCAGTTTCAATTTTCTTGGGATTTTGCATATCAGAGCAACACAAAATACACAATAGTCAAGTAGACTGTTCTTTACAAAAATTAAATAAATACTCTGATTCTACTAAATAAAATCCAATAAAGTTCACCTAACAACTAATTAGAGTGGACTGAAGAACAATTTAATATCTATACAAATATAGATGTTGTTCTACAGCTTAAGGCGTTTGTGAGGACAGGAATACATTTGCAAAAAATGAATTATATATTGGGATTCTTTGCATTCCCCATCGCATAAACAAGTTCAATCCAGTTTGTTGTTGAAAACAAAGGGGTGTGAATAGTTTGTGAAAGTGAAAGAGCAGAGTTCAAAGGTGAGCAGATTAGGTGGGAGAGGTGTTACTAACCTTCAGGACCCTGACCAGATGGGTTGTACTGTTCAGTGACTGAACCTGCAGAGGACAAGCCCAACCAAGAAAAGAGAACGAACAAGCTTTCAGCAACTGATCTAAGACACCAGCAGAAACAACTGGCATCTCAGCTGTTCACCCCGTAAACAAAGAGTCCAAGACCTCAGAACAAGAACAGCATTTACTTGTGAACTGAGCATTTTGATCTATCTACCCCAAATCCTCAGCTGGTTAAAATGGCTGCACAAAAACCGCCACGTTTGTTCCTAAAGGCATAAATGTCCCAATGAATGAATAACAGAGAGGCCGTTATTCATCACACATTTATCTTAACTTGAACTGGTGCTGTCCTCTAAAGTTAAGATTTCATTAAAAACTAAAAAAAAAAATCAACTCTTTAGTTTTATATTTGCCCACCAGATGGCGCTATTCAGCAACAATAGCACTTTCTACTCTTTTCTGCAAGGGAGTGATGCTGCTGCAAGAAGTATTTATCACTGTTGATGTTGGGTAATAATATGTGTAAAAAACATTTTAGGTTAATTGAAAAACATCTCTTCTTTTAAGAAAATAAAAGATTATGCAAACATACTGGTTTTTAAATGGGTTGAGTCCCAAATGAATACTTCATATTTCAGGTTTAATTAGCTCAAATATAAAATGTTTCAAAAATAAAAGAAGTAAAAGTAGCTTTTTTTTAAAAGACCTTTTTTTTACTGAAAAGTTTTAAATTCAACATTGTAGAAAAAAATTAAGATGCATCCAAATTAATGTCGCTGCCAGTCAAAGGCCAATGTTTAGGTCTTGCAACAATAACAACAAATGAATGTTCAAAATATTTAATTTACATTATTTGTTTTTTCGATACGACAACTAGTACACAAATTGCCCTTTCAATGGTTAAAATGAAAAAAAAAAAGAGGAAACATATTTTGTTTCTGTTGACTGGGGGTAAAATAAATGGCAAAATAAATGCCCGTTAGGATTTTAAATGATATCTTAAAGACTACAAGGTTACTTGGTCAAACCCTTATAAAAAAACAACAAAAAAAACCAAAACAAACGGAGATCTGAAATCAACCAAAAAGCTCCTATTGATGCACCTTTAATATTAAACTTACCAGCCATTTGTGAGTGACCTGTCCCCGCTGGATGACCTGAGAACAAAAAAACAACACATTGACCTTGAAATATAAATGTATTTATATGTCCAACACAGAGAAAGAAATCCACATAAATATGCTGCAGAAAGGCACAAAACAACATACAACCAAACCTCCTTCCTTCAAAAAATAAACAACTTACTGGAGTCAAATGGAGTCCCTTTTGGATGCGCTGTAACTAAAACACAACGGCAATTTACTGACACGTCTGACCTTTGACCTGGATTCTGACACTATGGTAACGATTCTTAAATGCTGAGAGCCTTACCTGTGTCTGTACCCGTGGAGTCTGCTGTCGCAGTAACCTGACCTGTGTTGGAGTAAACACCTGAAACTGGAAAAAGGGAAGAGATGCAGTAACAGACAGGTGTGTGTGAGCGGACAGGTGTGTGAACGGACAGGTGTGTGTGAGCGGACAGGTGTGTGAGCGGACAGGTGTGTGAACGGACAGGTGTGTGAGCGGACAGGTGTGTGAGCGGACAGGTGTGTGAGTGGACAGATGTGTGAGCGGACAGGTGTGTGAACAGACAGGTGTGTGAGCGGACAGGTGTGTGAACAGACAGATGTGTGAACAGACAGGTGTACCTGGGCTCAGCGTGTTGGTGACGGCAGCTGCAGGTTCTATGCTCAAAGTGATGGGAGACAACTCTGTAGCAAAATCATTCAACATAAAATGAAAAGTCAATCGATCGCTGTGTCTTATTATTTATTTATTTTTTTTCACTGTGTCTTATTATGCTGTAGCATCAATCTGTACCTGTGACATCACGGCCGAGACCTGAATCTGGATCAGAACATAAAAATATTAAGTTTTATCAGTGAGGTTTAGGATTTATCTGTTTGACTTATATATTGGTGAAACTTACTTAAGAAGTCAACATGAAGGTGGGTGACAGACTCTGTTCCACCTGCAGCCAAGTGTTTTATTTTATTATTATGGAAAATATTTTGATATTTTTAACTCAGAAATTTTAATCTTTTTTTCTGGAAAATTTCTGAGGTAAATCTCACAATTTCTGATTTTTTCTAGCAAAAATTACTAGGAAATTCTGAGTTTGATAAGTCTTTAAACTTATCAAACTCAGAATTTCTTTCAAGGAAATTTTCAACGCATCACTCTCAGAAATTCCACATTTTCTAGAACATTTCTGACATTAATCTCTAAATTTCAGATTTTTCTAGCACATTTTCAACTTTTCAAACTCAGAAGTTTCAAAGTTTTTTCTAGAGAAATTCTGAGATTTCAAAATTTCTCTCTGTTCTTTTTTTTACTTTTATGTTTTAGAAAATTGTCAACTTTTGAAACTCAGAAATTTTAATTTTTTTATAGAAAATTTCCAAGATCAATCTCAAAATGTCTGTTTTTTCTAGAAATTTACTGATATTTACTCTTGTTTTTCTATCTCCAGTGGCTTAATACATCATCGTACATATTTCACATACAGAGACGTGAGATCTCAATAAGACAAACCTGGTTAAAAAATTAAATGAATGAATGAATGAAGTCATTCTAAAAGTAAAGGACTGTCAGAAACAACACTGGCTTAAATCTAGATAATTTTTAAGGCCTTTTTTAATTAACAGTAATCCTACTTGTAAATCAGGACACAACTATTTAAAAAATATGTAGCTACATATTCGATACATATTTGTATCAAATAAAATTATGAATAATTACGGGTGAATAAAGCTGACAGTCGTCCTGCTGAGTGTTTATCAGTTTGTAAAATGAAGTGTTGATGCTACCAGAAGAGATTTTATTTACTAATGCTGACCAGAGATCCAACCTCTTTAGTTTGCTTTAAAGGAACATTCCCACACAAATGAACCAGCAGGTTTACCTGTGAGATCAGTTTGCATTTGCAGGCTCTGAGTGTTAACATCATGGAGGGAAACCATTCTTTCCGTCACTCCTGCAAAAGAGGCAAAAAGCAACAGGAATCAAATGAAAATCTTCAAAATAAAAGCATACAGATATTTGCATTGATTTGATCTCGTCTTCTGTAAAAACACTGCATATACATATATTCAGTAAAGCCTTTTAGCTTTATGTAATATTAAAAATATATTTTATTGTATAATATTTCATATTTCTAAGTTTAAATTGTCTGCATTGAGAACAAAGTGGAACCAAATTCAAATTCCTTGTTTGTGTGCAGCCGATTCTGATTATGTTTGGAACATATTATATTATATCATGTGTGGTACATATTTATATTACCATATCCCAATTTGCAGAAAACAGAGATTTAGACTCCCATTGTCCTTTGGCATTATCTATGATCTACATTTATGTATCACAAGTTTTTGTGAATCAAACTGTTCAGGAAAAGTTTTGCTTGTGAATTAAAATGTATAAAAAGGTCCAGGCTAATAAAAAAAAAATGAAATTACAAGAATAAAGCCATAATATTACCAGAATAAAGTTGTATGAGAATAAAGTAAAAATAATATGAGAATAAAATCATAATATTTTTGATAATAAAGTCATAATATTACCATATTACAAGAATAAAGTTGTAAATTTACTGGAATAATAAATAATAAACGCATCAGAATCAGATTATTGTCAGTAGCAGCCTGTCATTTTATATTTAAACTACTGCTGATAATTCCTTATTTGTATAACAAAATATTAAAGATGCTCAATATTTGTAATTTTACTGCAGCTATAAAGGCTCTTTTTACGTATTTTACAACTTTCTCCTGGTAAGATTTTGACTTTATTCTCATACAAATTTCTTCTCATATTTTTATTTATTCTTGAAACCAAAATTTAAAAAATCTATTTTTTTTCTTACCCTGACCATAATTTTTGGTTGTAAAAATGAAAGAGAAGGTAATGATTTAGTAATTCACCTCCATTCATGTCAGTCAGCACATTCTGCCTACCGTTTCCTGAAAATAAAAATCACGTCTATTATCTGGGTTTCTGTATTGAGCAACAAAACACCAAAAGAAAATAAAAAGTAGCAGAATTTTACCATTATTGTCAGGGGATTCTTCTCCGTCTGAGGAGACAAATAGAAAAGTCAGAGAAGTAAAAGATACAAGTGATTAAAGCAGCACCGAGTACTGCAGCAACCCTACAGATGAGCATGTACAGTATTAGTATTTATTTATTTCAAACTGTTTTTTAAAACCAAAGAAAGCAAATAACCAGCAGGACAACAGAAAACATGCATTAGCTAACAAAATAATTAGCTTGCCACTACTTTTGTGGAATAAGTTAATACTTATTTAATCCTACCCTTTACCTCAGTTTAATGAAATTTATCAGTTAACGACTCAGTAATTATCAGAGCTTTGTCGTTAAAAACATGTGACATGGATATACCTGTTCAATTTACTTTGCTAAAGAACTGACAAATAAGTTATGATACATAAAATTATCACAAACTGAACAGAACAAGTTGTACATAACAACAGCATCAGATTAATTACCAACTCTTTGCCAATCTATAATAATTATATAATATAAAATAATGATGGTAACAGAAGGAAATCTCTTACTTGTCTGCTGCTGGTGATCTCCGTTGCCATTGTCTATTAAAGATGTTGAGGAAACTGAACATGTTGAGCAAAAACAGGCTCTTATTTTTCTTTAAGAAACACCTGCAGGTTCTTCTGGGATCTTTTCCTCCGCCTACCTGCAGAATGAGAAGAACCCGGGAAAGGCCTGGCCAGTGATTGGTCAGATCCGGACGTCAGCGAGGTGCCGCCTGCGCCTGATTGGTCAACCCTTCCCACAGCGAGATACGAAGAATCTTTACCACCAAGAGACATGAAGAAGAACGTAAAAAAATGTTTGTTTTACTGTAACATAAGGCTGGACAATGAATCAGTATCAATATATATCACAATAGACACGTAATCAATATCCATACATCGTACATAAGATGGAATATTCAATAGAAGATTCACTGAACTCCGATCAATAACTGCACAGGGATATTTGGTCCAACATCAAATGGACCAAATAAAAAAAATTAAGTGGAAATTTTGGTATTTTATGGACAAAAATGACAATAATTCATATAAGCAGCAAAAAATAAAATCAGGCAAGAGAAAATTTTTCTAAATCAGTTTCTTTCAATAAAAAACTTAGAAAAATTTAACAAAAACTGCAGATGTGTGTCTGTCTGGTGAATTTTTGGTTAAAGCATGTTTGTTTTTCAGTCAGTGGGTAGAAAATCCAGAAATTTTACTCAAGTAAGAGCAAAAATACTTCATAATTAAATTACTTTAGAAAAGGTAGAAAGTACAGAGTAGTAAAAATAATCCTAAAAGTACATTAAAAAAATACTCAAGTAAATGTAACTGAGTAAATGAAACTAGTTACTGCCCAAATCTGAGTAGGTGGTGTCAATTAAATCACTCACTCATTGGTTACCTAGCAACGACCTGTTGAGTAACTGGCGCAGCAGCAGTTTCAGGTTTTACCACTTTGCCTCAAAACTTAAAAAAAAAAAGCAATGGCATGAAGTGAAAACTGTGGAAAGGAGGAAAGATCACGCCACAGGTTGGACAGTATTTAAAACAAACAGACTAATCAAAAATGATCAATATAGACAACTATCAATATCGACTGATACGAAACGCTTGTATTGTGATAAGTTTTTCAGCCATATTATCCAGCCCAACTCTAAAATAAAATCCAAGCCAAACCAGAGGAGAAACTACTACCAGCAGGCGAGCCTGGGATATTCTGTCCACCTGGTGGCGCTGCTGTCACTCCAGTGCCTGAGAAGTCGTGGTGAGGCAGTGCGGTCAAGTGAGCTGCCAGAAGAAAACACAAGTTTCAGGGTTTCAGAGCTCTAGTATCGTCTTCTTCAGTGGTAAATCTGAGAGATCAGACCTGGAATATTTAGGAGACCATCTGTGCTGAAAGGATCCACCAACCCACCACCTGAAAACACAGTAATCAACAACACGCTCAAGTTTCAACAACACGCTTAAGTTTCAACAACACGCTTAAGTTTCAACAACACGCTTAAGTTTCAACAACACGCTTAAGTTTCAACAACATGCTTAAGTTTCAACAACATGCTTAAGTTAACAAAGCAGGAATTGGAATAAAGTGTTTGTCTAGAAACATGTTCGGCCTTTTTAAAGTTCTTCACAAATGATTTTCAAGTTCACATCAAATCATTAGTCTCAAGTCTCTAAAAAACTGATACTAACATTTTTAAATTAAAATTACACCATATAACCTCTTTACAAAATATGATTTAGGTAAATAATAATAGATTTAGGTCATTAAGTTTCAAAGTGCGAACGTCACATGACTGAACAGCCATTTGTTTTTCTCAAAGATTGAAAACAAATCCGTCCCTTTGTAAAACTCTGACCCTGCACTGTTGTAAACTGGGCATAAATTACCACCTGAACATTTAATAAACATTTATTACTAGCCATCTTTGAATCTTTTAACATGTATTTCACCATCTGCTACAGGATGTTTTATGTTATTTTTGAAAACTGAACAACTGTAGTGTTTGCCCTGCTAGAAATACAAAAGTGCATTTGAAAAACAAATCCTGTTCATGTTGAATTTCCAAATGAATCTGTGATTTTTTGTCTTTAAAATTAGTTTTAAATATTTTAATCTTCAGGAAAAGTGAACTAATGGATCAGACAAACGTACCCATAAGGTTGAGCAGGAAGTCATGACTGGACGGATCGACGATTCCTGATGAAACAAAAAGACATTTTGTTTTTCAACAGAGAATATAAAATCTCTGTCATAAAATAAACTATAGATCTAGTCCTGGATGTTTCCAAAGGAGTAAAAAACAACAGTAGAATCTAAAGCTGTTAAGGTTTTGTTTTGGCTTGAGGTCTAATATTTTTCACCGCTTTGAAAAGTCGATTTTGAAACATTCAGTCTTTCTTAAATTAATCAAATTTCACTGATCTTAAAACCTTTTTCCACCTTCTGCTCACCGGTCTGACTGCTGACTCCGGCTCCACCTCCTCCGCCGTTCAGCAGCTTCTGTCCATTACCTGTAAATAACAACAACTAACTCAACTGATTTTGAAAATGAAGTTTGTAACTTTTTAAAAAATTCTGTTTTTTACATATTTGGTAAAATTGTCACTTTGTCGTGAGTTTAATATGAGACAGATGATCTGTGAAAAGACTGAGTTCCTCCATCTTGACCCTACATCTGTCTGAAGAAATACAACGCTCTCTGTCAGCCAATCAGAGCCAGGAGGAGGGGCTTAGCGCTGCCAATCAACCTCATGTATATGCTGCTCAATATACTAATGGAGGAGAAAGAAATTATCATTCCAGAAAAAAACTGTTTATAAGAGTCAGGCTGTGCTAGCCGGAGCGCAGCAGAGTGGAGAGTGGGAACAGAACATACACTAGAGTGATTGACAGCACTAAGACCCTCCTCCTGGTTCTGATTGGTTGTTTCAGACCAAGCTGTGTTTTTCTTCTATTATACTGGGAGCACTGGGAGAAAGCAAAAGAGTTTGATTTTGTTACAGATTATCTGTTTCATATTATACTGTAGCACCAAAGTGACAGTTTTAACAAATATGTAAAAAAAAAACCTAAACAAAACAGTTTTAAAAAATAAATAAAAGTTACACACTGTAGCTTTAAGGGTTTAAATTAACCTTGAAAGATTCCCAACATTTTTAGTAGTTCCAGTGATTTGCATTATTTTCCCATATGAAACAATGATATGTATATAAAATCAACCATATGATACGACATATTTTAAGTAATTTTAAATAAATTCACCGTTATTCTCTGAGTCTATTCCACCAGGACCTGAAACAGAAACAAAGCTTTTACACCAGAGAAACTTAAATATTCAAAAGTCAGTTCTATTCCTGCTCTGCTTCTAAATGTAATAATTTATTGGGCTAATAGGAGTTAGTGGATAAAAAAAAATATTTAAAGTTCATTTTAGATGTTTTATTTATTTTTTTGATCATGTTGAAATGTAAAGTTGTCGGACTCCTGCTAGGCTAACACCTTAAATTATTCTACTAATGGCAGATTTCCACATGCATCGAATTGCTCTGGACTAAAAGTGAACAGACTGACATCAATGATTGGATATTTTACCGTTCATGTCTGTTTTAGATGGACTCGGTAGGCGCTCGGATCCTAAAAGAACAAAAATTACTTTCACTGAACAGTTGCACTTGATTCACAGCAGCACATTTATTTATCTGATCCTGCTTTAAGCCAGATATGCTGTCTTGATTACCTGCTGGGTGAGTTTGACCTGCAGAAACACCAGAGATTTCAGCTGCTACAGAACCTGGAGATCCTCCTGAGTCTAAAATAGCTGCAGAACCTACAGAACCGGGAGATCCTCCCAAATCTACAGAGCCTGCAGAATCTACAGAACCTGCAAAACCCATGGATCCTACAGACCCTGGAGAACCTGCAGATCCTGCTGAGTCCACAAAACCTGCAGATCCTGCAGAGCCTATAGAGGCTGCAGAACCCGTAGAGCCTTCAGAACCCGGAGAAACTGCAGAACCTGGGCGATCAGAAGCGGAACAATAACAAGTTCTCTGGTCAAAATGTTGAGTAAAATAATACTGAATAAGTTCAGTCAGATTTTAAATGGAGAGCAGCATTTGAAATGTTTTATAATTGATTTGCACAGAAAAATGTTATTTAGTGAGCAGCCATCTTTAAATTATTTATTATTTTTATGAACTGAAACGGTGAATTTTGTTTACCTGACGAGCTGCTTGGATGTCCAGCTGCTGTACAAAAACATAAAAAGCATCTCAATTAGAGTTTAATATTAAGTAGCCATTGCTGCCTCTGTTGTTGTTGTTGCAGCGCCCCTTGTGGCGGCTGCGGGTATTACAATGTTAGCTCCAGCCGTTCAATTGCTGCAAAGAGCGCCAGATTTTAAAATAACCGCGCAAGCTAATGCTGCGCTCCAGTTGCACTTAGAAATGGGAGATTCTGACTGTTGTGTTTCAAAATGGCCGCTTCTCGCAACAACAGCAGTAAGATGTAGAGGAAACACATTTATTTTATGAGACAGAAATGTAAGAATCAATGTTAAATCAATGTTACATGTACCTCCTGAAACTCTAAACTGTACAAATTAGAAGCTTGTTTATGGAAAGTAAAACTTAATAAAGTCCGTCATGCAACATTTTCTATCATATTTTTCAGCCATAAAGATATGATGCTAGCAAAGCTTTGCAATACATGCCACTAGCAGGTGGTTTGTTTTGGCTCAAGAAACATTGTGATGAACCACAATGTAGAAATTACCTGCTAAATCGACAGAGGAGAGATCACCTCCGTGACCTGAAGAACAAGAAAAGACACATTTAGATTAAAACACCAAACATACCTTTCATTAATATGTACAGAGGAAACTGTCTTAGCAACAGCACATTGCTACCATTTACAGTACACTTTTGGCTCACAGCCAATCAGCACCAATGAAAATCAGTGGCGCTCCTGGATTGGCTGTTTTGTGAACACCAGCTAGCATGTCAAGTAGCATTGGATCTACATATTTCAGCTTCATAAGATCTGAATTTCACTATTTTATAAATACTCTACAAAATAAATGTGCAAATCGGTAAATTTATAAATAGATTAGTGATACATTAAACAGAAAACTATGTGTCCACTGTAACAATGAGTTTTCAACTAAGTTCTGATCAGGCATCTGGCCTAAGTGATGTAGACTGATAAGCACACCAAGAACTGATGAGCGCCATCAAACATGAACCAAAACACAAGAATTAAGTCAACATCAACCTGTTTATCAACTTAAAAACTCACCAAACATCCCCAAATAACCAGGAAAATATCAACCAAACACAGATAAACCATTAATGATGGTAACTACTAACCCCAAAAACAACATGAAAAAATAACTTTACCCAGGCGGCTATACGCTCCGAATTGAGAAAAGAAAATCGTGATTTACCTGTAGAGCTTCCTGCTGCCCCAACATGAGACCCCGTCTCTGGAGACTGACCACTGGAAACTGACAACATGTCCATCATTAACAGAAACAAGTGACTGACAGATATAAACATACATCTTTTAAAATCACAACAACTTGAAATACTGGAATATTACACTGGAAAAAGTTTTTGTCCTTTTTTTGCAGTAATTTTATGGATCTCAAGATGGATGAAATCTATTGTCTAAAAAACAATAGTAGTTTATTTTAAACTTGAGATCAGTTTGAGATTATATCAGAATCAGAATGTATTGTTCACATAAAATGTGTGCAAGCTAGATGCCAATGTTCATAAGAGCAGATGTCAAAATTAAGATTTTATGCACAAATAGCTCAAATTCAACATATTCAAAGACAAATGAGCCATTTAATTTTTGGGGCTTGAAGAACTTGAAGAAAAGACTCGTTTGTTTTAAAGTTGGATATAAAAGGTAAACTCACCGCTCATATGTTGAATATTTGAGGAAATAGCTTTGAAAAAAACAAAAACAAGTTCTTTACTTGAGATTATGAGTTCAAAGATTTTTACCTTTCAGTTACATTTAGTTTCTTAGCAAATACCTGTAAAAAAACATTTTTTAGAAATGAAAAAACTTGCAGTTATTTATTAAAAAGAACACATTTTAAAGCTAAAGCCTTATTAATCCCAGTAAAAACATTTCCTCATAAAGAATAAACTGATCATCAGTGTAAAATAGTATAAAAGTACGGCAGCATGGCCCAACACACAAAGACGTGTTGATAAAAAAATATTTTAGATGAATCCAGTTTAAAAATCTACTTAACTGGTCAAAATTAAACCAGATCATTTATACTAAACACACTTTGAAGTATATAAAGAAATTTACTTGCAAAAAAAGGTAACATTTTGTTGTTGAATACAAATGTTTGCCAAAATCTTCAGATTTTTAAAGGAAGTTATAAATTATGTATCTTTTTCTTCTGTTTCTCTTCAATTAAGCGCCACTTTGTTTTGGCTTGTCACCAAAAATCCCAGTAAAATGTATTAAAAAGTTTGTTTTAATACAAACTTTGTGCTAAGATGTGAGAAAATGTGAAAAAATGGAAAGGCGTAAGAAGATGAACGAAACTTAGATTAAGTAAAACATGCAGGTTAAGTCCGTGAAACATGTTTCTGAAGAAAATATAAGAAAATATTATTTTTATAATTGATCCCATTTTTCTGTAGGCTGCAATCAGAGTTTGTCAATTTAAAATAATTTTAAAACTAATTCTTTTCTATGCATATATTTAACCAGAAATGACTAATACAGATTTTTTAACTTTAAGTCTTTAGCTGTAATTCTGATCTTTGACAGCAGGTGGAGCTGAAGCTCTAACAAAAGTCATCCTGCCACAACCGTGGAACTATTTTCCGGCTGTGAATCGGGCTAATCCTGGTCAGAATACCAGCCAGTTAATCTGGATTAAATATGAAACCAAAGTGGAAACAAGCAGACTTTTCAGGAAGGAAAACCCGATCGGGTCCGACTCACCTGAACCTCCGGCTGCCGCTGCCGACACGGTGGTCTGCTGCGCTCCTGCAGGAGGAGGAGGAGAGGGGATCAGGTGTTCGGCATGAATAAACCTTCTGTCTCCAGCAGGTGAAAGAAAGTCTGGGGTTATTAAAAACACCAAGGATCCGTGGCATTAAAATCTGAAAAGGAATCCTGCAGGACAACGCCGAGTTTAAAGGCAAAATCTCAGTAACATATCCAGAAAAGGTTTTCAGATTTGGTCATTTTCTAAGGGGGAAAAATGTTTATTAGTTTCTTTATTAAAAAAATGAAATTCCAATAAAAAAAACGTGGGTTTATGGCTTAAATTACACTAAAATCGTCTGATAAATCAGGAGTTGCCTCAAATTTAATGGAGTAATTAGTTTAAAAATAAATTTCAGAGGTTTGACCTTCAATTTAGATTTTTGTTTATGAAGGTTTATATGTAAAGGTCATGATGTTTTATCTGCTCACCATCAATATTATCCTGACTCTTGGAGTCATCATCATCATCTGAAAAGAAGAAAAATCCAACATTTATTTTTCTAATTAAAAAGGTTTAACATCATTTTTATAGATTCAGATGAGAAACAGGAAAGTCTCTTCTCTCTGTCTGCTCTTTGTTGGATGTTTAATGTTTAAATATTTATTGAATTGTTATTATTATTATTATTATTTTATTCTGTTTTGGCTGGAATTCATTTGCATCAAGTTTGTAATTTTCTGGCTTTTTTAAATTTCTTTTTGTTCTGTTTAACAGCACAATCTATTCCACTCCAGTCTTCATACCAGCAGGGCCGGTGGCAGGAGAATCTGGGCCCCTGGGCAGGAAACTTTATTTTACCCCTGCAGACTAGAAATAACTGCTATGTACACATTAACTTGAAGATTTTAAGGCTTCGTTGCCATGAAAATTTTATTTTTCCGAGATGATTTTCGCCCTTTTGTGGAAATTGTTCTTGAAAAAACTGCGGAAATATTTTAAAACATAAGAAAATGATCTGAAATGTTGCAGTAACTTTGCCCAGCTTGTTTGTAGAGATGTAAGCCGTCACTAAAATACACATATTTACGTCCAATAATGTTAGAATATGGATTCTGATGAGGCTTGTTTGTCAAATTAAAAGTACCTGTTGAAAATAACCTTTAAGCTTAGGATGTGTATATTTTCTTTTGTTAATCAGATAAAATATTCTGATCGTAAATGCTGTGTTTTCATGACCTGGAAGGAGAAAATCATCATAATTAAAAGAAATAAAGGCTTTAAAACAAATGTTTGTGTAATTAATCTATATAAAGCGATTCACTGAGTGAATTTAGTTCCTGAAAGAAATGAGCGTTTTGATAATATATGTCTGGATTGGGTCTGTAAATAAAGCTGCTGTTGTGTTTTTGTTGTTGGGGTTTAAAGTACACAGTTTAGTGAAGTGGGGCTGTAATATTATAATTTTCAAATGGTTGAATATTGGTTATCTGCAGAAAAAGCCAACAAATGAAAATGTACAAAAACTGTATCTGCAACAGCAACAAACATCTCTAAACAAACAAAATCAAACAAGCCATAAAAATGTTGCTATTCTGACAAATCCTGACTCAGTTTTCAGCACTTTTACAAAAATATCTTTTTAATACTCGGCTGGTTTGATGACAAGTATTTGAAAAGCTGCACAGTGAAGTGGTTTTCTTCTCTTATCAGTTTTCTACTGAACATCTCTGTCTGGCATAATGACGACTTTTCTCTGTTAAAGATGAAGGTTGTGGAGTTAAAGAAAAAACATCGAGTCATTATGGTTCTGATGTGGAAAACAAACATGCAAACAAACATCTGTTGATGAAGTTATTAACTTTGTCTCATGAATAAAAGTTTTGGTGTTATTCTGTTTTAAATTATTTAATCAAACAGACTGAAATATTTAGTTTCCCCTCTGGAACGAACTGTCCTGTTTAACAAGACAAGAAGAGCTAAAACATTTAAACTGCAACAATCCCGTTTTTCAAGATGGCTTGATCTTTCTTCTCTAAAGAAATATGTCTATATTCTCCTAAATATAAACATTTATTGATGGATTGATTAAAATAAAAGCATAATAAAGCCGTTGTTAGTGTGGTTTATTATTGGTTTCGAAGGTAAAGAGTTAACATGTCATGAATGGATGTTGAAGTTAGAGGTTTGATGTTTGATCAGTTTTTCACACGGTTTAACGCTTTTTCAAGTGTTTTTCATTATGCAACTCATTATCAAGAAGCAAAAGTTCTCAAAATATTTTTATGATTAGTTTTGAGTCATTCATCAGTTTAAGTAAGATTAATTTGACCTTTTGTTTTTTAGTGAAATTATTTTTTTCCTCATGCGCAGCCCTACCCTCCTCCTCCTCAGACAACTCCCCCTCCAGCATCTCTGTGGCCTCCGTTTCCACCTCCTCCACCTCCTTCTCTGGAAGACACAACACAGACTCTCATCTCCACCAGCTGCAGAAGCCAGAATATAAAATATAAAACAACATGAATCTCATATTTTCCTTTTTTTACCCTCCACAGGCGCCGTAGATGCTGTAGTTGCCAGAAGGATGACTATCGACACGATCAGTAGGTTTCTTTTTTTTTATATATATAAAACAGATGAGTGGAGTATTCATTAACAGGGAATAAAGCAGATTTTTTAAAAAAATTCTTATTTTTCTTTAAAAGAATAAAAAAAATAATCAATGTAAGGAAAATATGAATAATCTGCTTTAAAATTATGACCAATTTCCCTTAAAAGAATCAATTAATCATTAAAGACAAACTGGTAATAGTCTGATTAATTACAAAAAGGAGAAAAAATATTCCAATATTGCTACTTTTTAACTAGATGCACTATAAATAAGTAAGTATATGTATGAAAACAAAAAATAAATAAAATTTATCATAACTCTAATATAAAAACATTTATTGAGTTGTTTAACCAGGATGGATAATACAACAATAATACACCAATAACCCAGAATTACAGAATTATTTTTGTAATCAGTAACATAAAAGCAAATTTCTTATAAAAAAAGTGCCAAAGATCAATATCATCAAATCAGCACAATAAAGATCAACACACCCAGTAAATGATTACATAAAACCAGAGGCATAAATGTGAATAAATCTCAGGATAATCAGCGTTACTCACGGTGGCAGCATGCTGCTGTCTGACACTTTTTCTGTTGAACTCAAGAGGTGAAGCTGAAGAGCTGCGGCCCCTCCTTCAAGCCCTCACATTTATACACAGACACTGAGGGGAGGGGCTGACCACGCTACCCCTAAAAACTACAAACACTTCTGCAAACAAACTTCATGCCCCGGAAGCGGCTGCAGTACAAATCCATCCGTCTTCTTCCTCATTCTGCTGCTTCTGCTCTGTTTATGTCGCTTCTTCATTCATGCTAAACGTTCAGATTTCATCCAAGCTAAACTGAGGGGCTTCCCATCATGCACTGGGGGTAGGTGTGGAGTTCACCTGGGCAGATGACCTCTAACAATCATTAGGGTCATTAGAGAAACCAAGCAGCTGTTGAGGTCATGTGACGTTCCTGCCCTAAAACCTTTTTGTTTTATTTTTACCAAGAGTTAATTATTTGTGGCTAAAATGTATTTTGGACAGAAAGATGTGGTAACATTTGTTGCTAAAATCCCTTTTGGAAAAAAGTGATTTATGTCATCAGTTTAGGAAAATAACGAGATTAGTTTCCGAATGCTTCATCAAACTACTTATAGCCTAATTTATCGCTTAAACCTTTGCAGTTTTGGCTTTTTTTAGTTATAAAATAACATTTTTGCACCAACTTTGTGTCATATCATACAATATGTTTATGCTAGCAAACACATAGGGGCATATTTTACCCACCCTGACAAGAGGCAGCTTAAAGTCATTTTAGCATCTGGTCAGTGTTGTAGCGAACGACTAAGTGCTCCAAACGACGCTGTAGCAGTTGCCAATTTTATTATATATTTGGATATTCTCATTATATGCAATCTGTAAAAATTAAAGATTTCCTTTTTAATCAGATCAATTTGCTGCAATAAAGGCCTTTTTATTGTATTGGCAAGAGTGATTATGGAAAAGTATGTCTGAGGTTTTGTTAGTTTTACGAACTTACAGCGTTTGCTGTGAGCAAATGTTGTTTTGTGACTTTTAGATAATATAATCTACCACCAGGAGAGCAGCTGGCATTATTTAGGTTATCTGATCTTAATGTAAGTAAAAGGAAATAAAGCAAAACAAAAAGGTTTTAAATGATCATTTTGAATTAAATTGTTCTTCAAATTTCAGCATTTTAAATCACATTTATCTTTATAAGTCCGGATAACGGTTAAATAAAACAAAAACAAACTGATATTTAATTGCTTAAGTACAAAGATATTAAATACAAGATTTACATGGAAGAAATCAAAATAGGAAAGTATAAAGTGGCCATTAAATTGGTTATAATGGAGTGTGAAATGTTAGAAAAATGTAACCGCAAAATATCTATAATTTATAGGAAAAAAAGCCATAAAAGGTACTGACTCGTACGTTAAGGACTAAATGGATTCAGTAGAGATAATTAAATAACAGAATCAACTGCATGAAGTAAAACCAACAGGATTTAAACAACCAGAAGACAGGCTTGCTTTTTTTAATCAGGATAATAAAAATTAACAATAAATAAAGCAGGGAGGAAATGCATATTATAAATTCATACAACAGAATAATAAAGTAAGATAAATAAAGTAATTCAACAAACAAAGAAGAAAAAAGAAAATGCTCAGAACATTTAGTTGTACCAAAATGCCTCCAAGGTAAATTTTCTAATTATTTTTGCAGACAGAACATATTTTTATGCCACTAGTTTTGAAATTCTCAGGACTGTTGATTATTTTATGGACTCTCAGAGTTTTCTGATAAAATTCAACATTAAAGATCTAATCAAAAATCACGTCTCACCTAAACAATGTGAAGGTAAATGGAAATCAAAAGGTGAAAACATGTTCTATCTAAATATTGTTAATGTGTTAAATATGATCGATTTTCAAGATGTTTACTTAGGCTGATGTAAAATAGATTCATGGGTGAAAAAAATGTATTTTTCTGGAAACAATCATGAATTTTAATCCTAATAACATTTCCAGATATGCTTTTTAGACAGGATGTATTAAATTTATGTGAAATATTCCTCTAAAATCAGTGGTGGGA